GGAAACTACTATAGTATTTTGGGACATAACTAAGACCCGTGTTGGAATGGCAACCTGAACTGGATCCACATTGAAGATAAAGAGCTTACGTTCCTTGCTTTTTCATAATGGAGATGAAGACCACAGACCACAATGACCCGCCTAAACTTTGCGGAAATAATGGTCTTGGTAATTCAGCGAACTCCCCCAGGGATCTGGCTGAAGAGGGACTGGAGGTTGCCGGCCTTCCAGTTGGCCGCAGACACAAATGATTTACTGGGTTGCTGCTAAGGAACTTAAATCAAGTTACCATAATGGGTATACATTAATTGATTTGGCTTCTATGGTATAGTAGCCTCTATTCAGTTCCTTAACAGCAATCGAGTGATTTATTGGGCGGTGCTTTCAAGGCCCCATGAATGGTTTATGAAGAGGTTCCCTTGCGCAACCATGTGGTGAGTTCTCAGTTATCCATAATCCCAAAGTGCCACCTAGTTTAGGTTAGGGCCCCACACACTAAAGTCACCACAATAGCGTCCCTGCATTTTCTTCCTCGACCACCATTACTGGGTGGGGGACTGTGAACCTTGGAGTCTGGATCACCCAAAGTTCAAGGCCAAGAGGTTTAGGGTTTAGGGTTTATGGTTCGCACGGCCTTTGCAACCCCTGGAAATCCTGCTACACACAGCTTCACAAATACTCCAATAAAAAGTCGGGTCCCGTATGATATGCGACGAAATACTTCATCCCTCTATGTGGGCGCCCACTCACCAAGCAAAGGCCCTAAGTAAACCCTAGACCTTAAACCCTGGACCCCAAACCCGAAACCTTAAACCCTGGACCCCATATCCGGAACCATAAACCCTAAACCCTGAACCGTAAACCCCAAACCTTAAACCCTAAATCCTAAACCCTAAACCTTAAAACACAAACCTTAAACCCTAAACGCATCCCAAGAGCCTCCAGCACTCGGATGTATAGGAACCCTGCCTTGGGCCTCGCGGCAAGATCTATAGGGTTAATGTAGGGTTCTATGTTTCCATATAGGGTTTAGGGTTTAGGGTAATACCCCTAAATAAGAACATATATATATATATGGGTTACAGTAAAGAATCAAATGGTAAAGCAAATAGAAATGTGTATATAGATGGGCTTCTATAAGATTTGCGGCGATATCGGAGACGACAGTGAAGAACAAAACGGACAAGCACATGGAGAATGAAATGTAGACTGGGCTCTGTAGTGGCTTGCAGGGATTAGGGTTTGCAAAAAGTACGGGTCTCTGGATCATAAGGGTTAACAGTGCCTAAAGCAATATTTCAGGCGACCCGTTTACGGAAAATCCCACACAATTATGGTCGAAACTTCTAGTATCCCCCTTAATAACCCCTCTAGTAATCCCCTATATAATCCGTTTTATAACCCCTTTAAAGGAGTTTAGACTATAGCTGATGGGAAACTACCATATGGACCCAGAGATGCTGTCATGCATGGGGACTCAGGGTTTGGGTTTAGGTTTAGGGTTTAGGGTTTAGGGTTTAGGGACCTCTCATTTTTGCATCTGAGCCTCTGACCCAGTACCACCCACCGGATGTGCTCCAATCACCACACCAAGCATGGAAGGTGCCTACATGCAAGCCCAAGACATCAACAAATGGTGCAGAGGAATGGACCGGCATGCATGCGCACACCTTTGCTGCCTATGAAGTTCAGGAGTTGGACGCAAATCGTGAAACCTGACTTTAGACACCTGGGTGGGAAAAACAAGGGTGATCCATGCGAAGCCCCTGAATAATCAGTATTTGCAAGATTCCTGCTTCCTTCCGCAGCGCATGCTTCCTAGCGTCATCCAGGGCCGAACTCCTGACGAACAAACATCTGCTCTCTGGACCTCTTCACTGGCGCCGGGCACGTCGAAGCTTGAAACTTGGCTATCACGGACAACAGCGGATCTTGCAGAGCAGAATGGCTACTGCAGCTGCGAATTAGCGAATCCCTTCTTCACAAAAGCATGAATTCAGCAAGCACGCGTATTCTCATTCCAACTGCAGCTTCCTGATAACGCAGCTCAACATGGTATGTTCTCTAAATAGGGGGGACCCCAAATATAGACTCAAAAATGCAACAATCCTTGTTATAGAAACCCCCAGAAAGCTATCCCTAATTTTGGGAAATCCCCAAATCCCTATAATCCCCTATATAAACCCAGTTTCCATTTCATTTTCCATTTTCTTTTCCATTTGATTCTCCATTATAGTAGGTACCCAGGTGCAAGCCCACCCCTAAACAATAAACCCTAAACCCTAAACCCTAAACCCTAAACGTGCAAGCGAGGTGGCTCGAGGTGGCCATGTCACTTGGCGACGGCACCTCAAGCAAAGGTGCACAAGCACTCCTCCATCATCAGTCAGAGACGGAAGAAGCCAAAAAAGAGGGCCACCCGGGACAGCTTAACCCTAAACCCCAAACTTGAAGATTATATAAGTCCAGCTTTCTTATGTATCCCCATAAACCATGTATGACCGCATATATGGGGGGGGGTTCCCCAAATTAGGGTACCTTTTTGGGGGTCCCAATAATAAGGACTATAGTATATTGGGGTCTATGTTGGGGTCCCCTTATTTTGCGAACCACCATATCATAATATCTTCCATTTGATATTCTTTTCAAGTTGATTCTCCATCTCCGAATTAACATCCAACAGCCCTATATACCACGGTATACCCACCCTAAACTCAAGATCCCAAACCCTAAAACCCTAAAACCCTAAAACGCTTAAACGCTAAACCGTAAACCCTACCTACATTTAAGTCCCTGCAGCACCTACTGGGTCCTATAGTCCCCCTTAAGTCGATAGAATATGGCTTTGGGTATGTTATAATAAGATCCCCATATACCCCATATTCTATCTACTTAAAGCGGACTAAACCCTAATCCCTAAACCCTAGTCCCTAAACCCTGATCCCTAAACCCTCAACCCTATATTCTATCTACTTAAGGGGGACTATAGGTTCATCTTCGGTGAGCTAGGACTGCTCAGCTCGCAGCCAGGTTCCAAGCCCCATCATCAACAGAAACAGATTGCACCATGGTTTAGGGTTTAGGGTTTAGAAGGAATGGAAAAGAAAATGGAAACTACTATAGGGTTTAGGGTTCAAGGTTTAGGGGAACCTACACTGAAGATTGAGCAGTGGCTCGATGGCAGGCCGAGCCTACATCAGGGATGCACACTTCAAAGAACCCTAAACCCTAAATGATAAATCCTAACACCTACACCCTAAACCGTAAATTCTATGCAATGTTGTGTCACATCTGCCGTGCTTCTTTCTACATCTAACCCTTGAGCCCACGCTGGCTGGCTGGATCGCCGCAAACTCCCGATGTGCAACCACTGTCTTGAAGGGGGTCTCTCAAGACAAGGGGCCCTTGCGAACTCTCTAAACCATAAACCCTAAACCCTTTGAACCCAGAAACTCTATAGTCCCCCTTTTTGAGCAGAGCTAAAGACATGGAGCCATCATCCAAAAGCCTGTGCTGGACTCCTCAGCACACATGACGCTGCAGTCAACAAAGCCTTGCAGTATAATCTCCTCCCACCCCCCTAATATTTTATACTCCCATATATTATGATGTACCACAATGATATACCACAATGAGAAGTATTTAATATTAGGGAGCTAAGGGGCTGGGGGGGGGGATTAACCCAAAAAAATATTTCATAATACCTTAAACCCTAAACCCTAACTGTCTTGTCCCAAGGCGTGGTAGGAAGCTGCGGCTTTCTGGGCGGGAAGGAAGCTTGTCTGGGTTGCTGTTAGGGAACTTAAATTAGGTTACCAGAATGAGTCTACATAGTAATTAATGTGGTTTCCCCATTATAGTAACTTAACTGGAGTTCCTCAACAGCAACCCAGTTATGTGATATGCGCGTGTTTTATGGTTCGGTTTGCAGGTCTCCAAGAGACAGGGTGGCGGGACACGCAACTTCAATCCCCCTATACGCACTTGCAGGAGCACAGGTATGAAGCCTATATGAACATGGTCAGGTCAAGCATCAGAAAGACCATGCTTAGAAAGTCCTGTACGTTTTCCTGCCTTTCAAGCGCTTTTGCGCCTGGGCCTGGGCTGGCAACCATTCGGCTTACCCGCCAGCCAGGGATGTGGACGCTACCGGGTCCTCTGGAAAGGATGCCTCCGGTCTCATGCGCCCAGAAAAGAGCAAATGCTGAAACCGCCGCTACGGCAGCACCCGGCATAGCCGAATTCAGGATGGGAAGATCAGGTGGGAGTTCCTCAAAACTAAGTCTGCGGAGTCTCTTTCATATAAAGCTATTTCAGATCAAGAATATGGGCGTCCCCATAATATATCTCTACATATCTCTATACATCCGTACATGTCCCTGCATGCTCCTGCATATGGCCCCCTCAGGATACCCCCGTGTTTTGAGAGATTCCCAGATGAGCTCAGCCGCCAGCTTCGACGACTCGCCTACAAGTTTGAGGACATCCAGCAGGGGGTTTCCAAAATGAAGGGTTAAGGGTTTAGGATTTAGGTTTAAGGGTTTAGAGTTTAGGGTTTAGGGTATGGGGGTTTCCCAAAGTTAAGGGTTAAGGATTTAAGCTCAGGGGTTTAGAGTTTAGGGTTCAGGGTATGGGGGTTTCCCAAAATCAAGGGTCAAGGATTTATGGTTAAGGGTTTAGAGTTGAGGGTCTGGGGGTTTCCCAAAACTAAGGGCACCCTCTTGATGGTCCCAATAATATGGATTACAATATTTGGGGACTCCTTATTTAGGGAAAAAGCCAAATAGACACCCGAGGCACCTATGGGACACGTGTCTCCCAACCTTAAACCTTAAGCCAACAGCTCTAAACCCTAATCTTAAAGCCCCAAGCCCAAAACCCTAAATCCTTTCTGACCCCGAAAACCCTAAAACCCTAAACCTATTGGGATTACAGAATAGCCCTAAGCCCGAGACCCTAAGCCACAAACACCAAACCCTACCACCCTAAACCCTAAACCTCTACCACCCTGAACCCTAAACCCTAAACCCTAAACCCCTAAACCCCTAAACCCTAAACCCCTAAACCCCTAAACCCTAAACCCTAAACCCTACCACCCCCCATCCATTCCACGGCCTGTCCAGGTGTCCTCGGATCTGCTCCGCCAAGGCCTTGGCCCACCACTCATAGCCTGGGTCAGTGTTACGTAACTTAAGTGACCATATGAGAGTTTAGGGTTTAGGGTTTAGGGTGTAGGGTTTAGGGTTTAGGGTTTAGGTTAAACCCAGTAATATAGGGATAATGGAAAAGAAAATGGAAATTACGATATTATAATAGGGTATATATTGGGGTTATATTGGTGTTATATTGAGTAGTGTTTTTGTGGCGGTTAGACCTAGCAAGATAGTATTCCTTATGTAAAATACTATACCCCAAAAGGAGGATAGAATCTTACTCTATATTGGCTGCCCTAGTATCCCCAAATAAAATACTACTCATATGTTATACAAGCTTTAAATAGGGGTATATAGGGGTATACAGGGGTATATAGGGTTTACGGTCAGTGTTAAGTAACTTAAGTTACCATATTCTGGGTATAGAGGCTTTAGGGTTTAAGTTACCATGTTATGGGTATATGGAAAATGACAGGGTGCCCTTATTAACGTAACTTACCCTAAACTCTAAACCCAACCCTAAACCCAACCCTAACATAATTCAAGTTTCTTAACAGCAACCCAGAAGCCCGCGGGGCTGGGGTGCATGAGGTCTGCAGAGAAGAGAGCCTCTGGCAAGGGGAGGATGGCTGAGTGGGTTTAGGGTTTAGGGCAGGTTAGGATTTTGACCTAGGGTAAACAGAATCAAGAGCACTCTAAAAGGAGCCCTAGGAGGGTAAGTGCTCTTTGATTTCTTGGGTTCATATCCCTATTATGGTCATAAAATCCTAACCGGGTTTAGGGTAGTGGGTATGGTTGGTTGAAATGGGGGCATAAAGGAATATAATGGGGAGTATAGGCTATGTAGCGGTTATGCAGGGATTACACGGGGATTGCGTGGGCTCCATATATATATATAAATTATTTATAGGGTTTGGGGTGTTTGTCGTTGCTTTTTAAGGGTTAGAAGGGAAGTATATGGGGTTTAGATGGAGAATCAAATAGAAACCAACTGAAATGCAAAGTATTCTATGGATATATGTGTAGGAACATTCTCCGGAAAATACGATCCAATAGTGGAGAATCAAATGGAAAAGAAAACAGAAAGTTGAAATGGAAACTGAGGTTTCATAGTCTTCAAAATTACTAAAGTAGTACTGGAAACACGAAAAGCAGCAAAAGTCATAGTATTGGTGAAGGTGAGAACACTAGTCCATCTACAACGGTACCTTAGCAGATTAAAGTGATGAGAAGCTACTAAACCTAAAACCCCAGACAGTCCCAACCTGATTATCTCATCACAGTTGGTCTGGCAGCACAGCGCTAGGAATGATGGTGATAGTAAGGATGCTGACAAGGGGCACAATATATAGTTGTTGTAAGAATAAGTAGAATAACGATGGTAATGCTAATGAGACTAGTAATACTGGTATTACTAGTATAGATGATCGTAAACAGCCATTATAGCAAGAAGCATGGCAGTAAGGAACACTTAGCTCATTGCCTCGGGCTGAACGTCCTCGGGGGGCGCAGGGAAAGGCAGCACCTGGAGTATGCAGAACACATAAGCTATAGTCTAAACTCCTAGTATCCCCCTTAATAACCCCCATAGTAGTCCCCAATATAATTCCCGATATAACCCCATTTAAGGAGTTTAGACTGTAGTACACATGATGCTACTAGGCGCGTAACTTTGAACCCTGGCGACTTGGAGAATGACGCGCATTGTTGATTCCGACTCATTCAGCTGGCTCAAGCCAACTCAATTAGCCACAAAACCCAACAGCCCTGCTGTTGCCGACTCTTTCATTCATTCGTTTGTCAAAAGGACCCCCCAGATCCCCAAAGCACACCTCATCAGGCCTTTTCAAGGACAAAGCCCACCCCATATTGCACATCTTCTTGATCTGTTGTAAGGCGGACGGAATCTCATGGTTGCTGGCGCTGCTTAAATTGTGCCTCTGCATGACCGTCTCAGAGTCGGCCTATTGCTGGCAGTCTTTGTGGCGGAGCTCTAGTTGCGGTTAGCGCAACTCACTCAGTGCAAAGCATCCAGTTGATGCTTTGCACACACACGTCAAGAACTGCGCAAGATTGCCCCATTGCTAGAGTCAAGCAGGTGGGATCAGCAAAGACAATCACTGTCCTTTTGAAGGGTATCCGCGAGAAGGCACGCAAGGGAAATGCTGTCTCAATGAGCTTACGCCTCTCGTGCGCGGTGTGCGAAATTTCAACTATCCTGCCTAGAGGAATAGGGTAGGGGCATGACGAACACAAGTCGCTGAAAAAAAGTGTCAAATCTCACGCATGGGAACCCAGCAAATTTGGTAGCTGGAATCACGAGTCCGGCTTTTAAGCTGGAGCTTCCGAAAATCACGGTCCCGTTTGAAGATGTTGAGATCTGGGGGTTTTCCCAAAGGGTTTCCCAAAATTAGGGGTACCTTGGTGGGGTTCCTATAATAAGGATTATAATATTTGAAGGTCTATATTGGGGTCCCGTATTTTGGGAAATTACCATCTTGATTCTGGAGCTCCCTTCCACGCCTGCGCCCGTGCCTCTTGGCACCGGCAGATGGCCTGGCACGGAAGGTTCCAGGCTCAGACCCTAACCCCTAAGCCCTAAACCCTATAAACCCTAAACCCTATAAACCCCAACCCCGAAACCCTAGAAAGCCTAACCCCGGTATCCCTAAACCCTATAAACCCTAACCCCGTAATCCCTAAACCCTAACTCCTAACCCCTAAATCCTAATCTACTGACTCAGAGTCATGCACCTTCCACTTCTCGCGCTCCCAGGCGTGGCAGACAGGGGTGAGGAAGAACTTCAGTGGCCAGCGCTGTAGCCTCATCCGAACTGCTACACATGAGGGGCTATCTAGCGGATTAGGGATTAGGGTTTAGGGTTTAGGGGAGTCTTATATTATAGGGCCTATTGAGGAGCATACTAAGAATTTAGACTATAGCTCACATCTTGCACCCCCTGCTTCTCCAGTCAGTCCAGAGTGCATAGGCGCATCGGGGATGGCTACAGCTGGCAGGAAGACGCCTTCAACCTGAGCTCAGAACCATTGGGTCTAGGGTTTAGGGTTTAGGGCATATTGGGATAATGGAAAATTAAATGGAAATTACTATAATGGGTTATATAGGGTGTATATATACATATATA